GCCTCCCCGGCGAAGGCGCCTGCGCGTCGGGCGCGGCCGCTGCGGGAGGGAGGGCCGGGCCGGGCCGGGCCCTGAACCTGGCGGGACGGGCTGGAGCCCCGGGCTGGGCGCCAGAGCTGTCCCTCCTGAATATCTGAAAGGAAACCTTTAACAAGAACTATCGGTTTTCAAATAACGTAAGTGTATAACCCACCTCCCAGCTCATGAGCTCCTAGGGCCGCTCTCCCGGTGTTTCAAAATTCTCTCTTACAAGAGACAGAAGCCATTCTCTAGAGGCTTCTTCCGGGCTTTCCAAGCAAGCAGCCAGGGAGATATCCAAGGTGATAACCTGAGGGGGTAGGAGCAACGTATCATAGGTGGTCTGTGTTCATCTGCAAGGTATACTTTTTTTGTAGAAAACAGACCCACAAAAGGCCAGCGGGAAAATAAAACTGATCTGTATATTGTAGTGTTTGCTCTGGTATTGTATTCATAGGTTTTTGGCATTTGTCCTTAGTTTGAGCTGCATATACTACCATAAAGTAATCTTGGCCAGCTTGAAGAACTGCCCCTTGCATAAGGAGCAGGAGGTTTTGAGGCTTGCATTGAATTTCCCAGGGAAGCTGTTGGATAGTCTCTGTAACACTGTGGGAAAGGCCTCTCTCCTGAGATGTGCTTTCACCCATACGGTAAATGTCATTGTGCCTCAGGAGCAGGCTTGGTTCCCTTGGCATCCTTGGGTTTTAGGGACCCTCTGTGTGACTCTCAGGTAAGGCAGCAGACACATGAACTCAATTTGATGTTCCACAGGAAAACAACAGAGTGAATAGAGAGCATTTATTAGGCCACACTTGGATTACTGTGTCCACTTAAGTCCATGCCAGTCCAAGAGAGACATTGAAAAGCTAGGGAGGGTCCAGCAGAGGGCCACCATGACTTTTAGAGGATTAGAGAGCTTGACATATGTGTCAGGGGAGGCCCAGGAGGGGCAGCTGAGCCAGTCACAGAGAGTCCTCACGCTCTGGTCCCCACAGCACTCCCCCCCACAAGAAAGGTTCAGGTGGCAGTATAGGTGTCCCTGTCACTTATGAATGGGTTCACAATTAACAGCCAGAAACGAATAACAAAGTTTAATATGTATCACTGGTAACAATAACAATTAAAAGCTAATGATAACAACAATAGTAACAATACACCATTAATCAGTCAGTCACCTCACATGGAACTCCCCACACAACGCAGAACAGGAACAATTACAGTAATTACGAACACAAACATGAGCTCAAACCACCAAGGTGTAGGTACCTGGTGGTTACCAGAGAAGGCGCTGGGGGAGGGAGAAGCGCAGGAAGAGACAAGCAGGCCATGCCCGGGGCAGGGGGGGGCCGCTGCAAGCCCCAGGATTACAG